AGTGCGCAAGTCTCTTTTCTAGCAAGGTTCTACCAGGTAAAAAAAGTCCCAAAAAGTTGCCAAAAAATGAACTTTTGCTTACCTGAACTCTGGCCTCGCTGAGGTCGAGGCGCATCGCCAGCTCCTCTCGTGTGAAGACATCCGGGTATTGGGTCTTCTCAAAAGCCCGCTCCAGCTGGTGCAGCTGAAAGGTGGTGAAGGTGGTTCGACTGCGACGAACTTTGCGACCTCCATTTCCATTTCTTCCATGACAGCTTTCCAGTTCCTCACCCTCAAAATTATCACCACCTTCACTGCCTTCACAGTCAATTCCCGTTTCCTCTTGTTCAAGGCTTTCACAGGTATCATCATCGGTGGTGTTTTCCGGAGATGCCGAAGATAATCGATGGGAGTTATCAGCAGCAACAGCAGAACTGAGCATCATCTTCTTATGTGGGAGGTTATGGTGATAGCTGTGATGAGCTGACTGAATTGCCTTCTTTTCGGTTATTGCTGAAAAAATAAAACGATCATGATTACAAAATAAAACAAAAAATGATTTGTTTTACCTGAGGTATTAATGAGAGGAGAACTCGAAGAGCTGAGAATGTGGTCAATGTAGAAGAGATGCGGCGGAGAGGAAGATTGTCCTGACTTTTGTTTAGTTTTAGCTGCTGCTGCCTGGAAGCTGGCAAAGAGTGCTCCATTCTCCTTGAGACAGGATGGATTCACCTCTCTGAATCCATTGTCGATCGACGTCACCATTTTTCCAGTCGGGGCACTCGCCGTCATCGCCATCATCAGCCGAGGCGTCATCATTTCGAATTTTGTGTAATTGAATCCTCAGGCAGGCGGGCGGGCACTCAATTCGATTACTTCAGCAAGAGCAAACTCTCGATTTGTTATTACTACTTATTTATCGATTATTGCTATATTCTGGGTTTTCCAAGAAGGCAGTACTGCTGCTGCTGCTGCTGCTGCTGCAACACTGATTCAAAATTTAAATTCACTTGGGCGGAAAAAACGACGACGACGACGGCGACAAAACGGGAATTTAATTTCCGTTTAATAATAGTGCGAAAATTGCCAAAGAGGCTTCTTCCACTCTCTCACTCTTTTGGTGTTATTTGCATAAACAATTCTAAATTAAATTTAAATTCACCACTTTAGCTGGCAAACGGTGGTAGTGCACTGCTGGACACAGTTGAACACAGTGCTGCTGCTGCTAGGTTTACTTTTCCGGTTATGTAAATTGAGTGAAAAGCAAAGGAGGAGGAGGGCACGAAAAAAGGTCAAAGATGATATTAAGAGAAAAGTTGGCAGCGAAGAAGACGAGAAGACTTTTCAGATCAAAGTTAAATTTGAAGCAAGCAGGCAGAGAGAAAGCATATGCAAATTTGGGGGCACCCACTTTGCTGGCCGAGGATCACAAAACACACACACAGGTTTATTTAGCTGGGGCACAAAAGTTTCAATTTCTAAATTTCAAATTTTCTCACTTTCAGCCAGTCATTCGGTGGCCGTGTCTGCGGAGAGAGTGAGTGAGTGAGTGGTCGTTGACGAGTGAGTGAACTGAGAACTGAGAGCTGAGAATGAGACAGTACCGAGAACTACCGAAAAGTAGACCTCATTCTCTCTCTCTCAAACACTCGTCGACGGTCTAATCCAAACACACACTCACTCACTCATTCACTTACACACTTACACACTGCAAAGCTAATTAGCCAGTGAGGGGCGTTTGGTGCAGTTAGAGCAGAGCAGAGGGTGCAACACACTGAACACTGAGAAAAAGAAAAAGGTGGAGTTAGAGTCCAGTTCAGTCTAGCCTGCGCAGCTAGTAACTCATAAAGTGAAGCTCTCTCTCTCTCTGAGAAGTTGTAGAAGTAGTGTGTCAAAGCACAGTGCTCAAAATGTTAGGTAAGGTAAATCTCAGTGCTCACAACAGTGGCCACAGCTTTACCTGTCTGCCAGTGAGCAATATTTTTGCATAATGTGTGATTAGAAGCTAATTTGTCCGTGTAAAATCTTAAGCTCTAGGTGGTGGCATTTAATCGCAGCTGAAGAGGAAGAAAGACAGATCTTCATTGATTTAAGACAGGCAGACAAATTGGACAGAGCCTAATCTCTGCCTGGTCTCACCAGGCTAATGCAGTGTCACTCAATCTGTCTGTCTGTCGAACTGACTGGCTGACTGACTGGATTACCCAAAATTACTTAACAAAACTGCATCTTCTTCTTCTTCTTCTTGGATTGCACAACTTTGATAATTCGGTAATTCTGTCTGCCAAGTAAATTAGCTCAGTGTCCCAGTGCGCAGACAACAACAACGGCTGACGGTGCTGCTGCTAATCTGACAATTAGCTAAAGACTGTCTATCAGAAGAGAGCAAAAAAATGCTGGCGCCAACAAATTAGCCAGCCAGTCAAACTGATGACTTGATCTAATCTAATTCAGCTGGTAATTTGGAAAAAGCGGCGCGCTAATGGCTGAAAACAGTTGTTAAATCTAGTCAGCAGGCAAAGTGTCCACTTGACGAAACAATGTGCGACACAGCAACAAAAAACCGACAAAATTTTACGCGTGTCCAGATCAGCGTGGACATCGGACACACACTCACAAAAACTGCTACACTTTAAGATCAATTGAAAGAGGCACAATCATCATCATAATCACTACTCACTCAATCGTTCGCACTGATGAAGTGGGCACCATTGTGTGCAGGAGCACAAAAAAGAAAAAAAGAATGGACCTAGCAGCAGCAGAAGAAGAAAAAAGTGGTTCAGCAAACAAAAAACACCGTAAACAAATCGAGGGCAGATCAACTTAATCGATTGCAGCCGCTTGCACAGCAGCAACCTTCATTGAGACAATTTTTCAGTTAGAGCAGCAGCAGCAGCAGCAGCAGTCGAGCTTGATTGCACATTTCACAACATGTTGCCTTTTGTGAGATTGTGAGTGAGAGAGTGAGTAAAAAATTGAGAGAGAGTGCCTGGACAAAGGTCTCTCAGCAAGCAGACTCGAGTATAAGTAATTAGCTCCGGCAATTGAGAGAGAAGAGAGAGCTAATAGAGTGCTAACGGAGACGATAAGCCAGCCAACTAGCTAGGACCGGACAACTAGAACTAGTGCTCAGTCTCAGTTCACGGACGACTTGCTGGCGGAGAATGGAGGGGGATTAGTGTCTCCTCGAACTAACAACATCGATCGAACTGAACTGAACTGAACTGAGGAGAGCAGACACTCACTTACCAGCTCTCTCTCTTGTTGTTCACTACCACCACCGTTGACAATGGAAAGCACTTAAAAGACAGCTCAGTCTCGATCGCTCGCGCGGGCGCGCGGCTCGCATTAGGCACTCATTTAGCACAACACAACATCTCACTCTCTGAAAAAAGAAGAGAAGAAACCTGAGGAAAAGGAGAAGGAAAAGAAGAGGGGTGAGCTGAGCTGAGTTGAGGGGCAAGCCGACACCGACGACGACACAAAACCTGAGCAGTGGATAATGCTGCCAATTTAGAAGGCTAGCCAGCCTGTGCTAGCCAGGCAGCCTACTTCACTTCAATCAAGAGTGAATCCAGTTAACCGTAAGAACAACAGACAATGGGCACTGCTGTGGGAAAGTATTAGCGCAATTGGGGAGAAGGAGAGGAGAGGAGAACTTTCAGGCAGTCAATCGATTCAGGCACATCGGCAGAAGTTCTAGTGAGATTTGAGAGGGGAAAGAAGGAGAGGAGAGGAGACGCTCTCCCGCTAATTGAAACTTGATCGTACCTCGGAAATCAAATCAGTGCTCAAAACATAGCACAGCCAGTGTGACTTAACTGTGAGTCGGGCTAATTAGACTCTCCAATGCTCCAGGCTTTTTCATCCGGGGGGATCGCTTTTATTGGTCTCGGTTGGTGCTGCTGCTGCTGCCTTCTGTTTACTTTTTAGAAGCAGTTGAGCAGTTTGGTGAGCAGCTGCAGAATGAGCACATTTCCCACCACAACCAATAAAAATCCATAGTGCTGCAGCAGCAGTTGAAAGATGTCCAAACCAGAGAAGAGAGAGGGAGGGGGGAAATGCATCGAAATTTTGATTTCGTCAAAGTTTTTCAGCAGTAGTTCCGAGAGACCGGAGAACTGAGTATTCCACCATCACCACCAGGTAACACATTTGTAGAGAAGGAAAAAGAGATTTGAAAAAGAACAACAAACAACGATGACTGAACTGAGATAAACAAAGTAGAAGCTTCTCAGCACATCAGCACACGCCTAGCGTCTTGTACTTGAGCAGCGGAATGAGCGAGCTGACGACGCCCACAAAGCCCACTGTAAAGGGCGAGAAGGCGACCTTCCGCGAGGCGTTCATCGAGATGACCGCATCGCAGA